CTGCTAACCAGAAGGCTGGTGGTTCAAACCCACCAGCCACTCCTTGGAAGGAAGGTTGGGCATTCCTACTTCCGTAGTGATACTGCTTCGGAAACCGAAGGAGGGGTCGCTATGAGTCGGGGGCCGACTTGACGGCACGTAACAACAACAACAATGGCTAATGATCACGAACATTTCTTCATGTGTTTATTGGCCACCTGAATATCTTCTTTGGTGAAGTGTCCATATCTTCTCTCTATTTGTTAATTGGATTGTTTGTCTTTTTGATATTAAGGTGTTGGAGGGCAAATATCTTTCTGATACTCTTTGCTTTCAGCCAAGATCCATCAGACATCAGCAATGATATCCCTAGTTCCATGTCTTCTGCTGAATGTAGCTTGAATTTCTGGAAGTTTCCTGTCAATATACTGCTGTAACTGTTTTTGAATTATCTTCAGCAAAATTTTACTTATGTGTGACATTAATGATATTGTTTGATAATTTGCACATTCTGTTAGATCATCTTGGTTTGGAATGGGCACTATTATGAATCTCTTCCAGTTGGTTGGCCAGGTAGCTGTCTTCTAAATTTCTTGGCATAAATGAGTAAGCACCTCCAGCACTGCATCTGTTGAAATATCTCAGTGGGTATTCTGTCAATTCCTGGAGCCTTGTTTTTCACCAGTTCCCTCAGTGCAGTTTGTACTTCTTCCACAATACCATTGGTTCTTTATCATATGCTACCTCCTGAAATACCAACCAATTCTTGTTGGTACAATGACTCTGTGTATTCCTTCTGTCTTCTTTGGATGCTTCCTGTATCACTCAGTATTTTGCCCATAGAATTCTTCAGTAACTTGAGGCTTAAATTTTTCTTTCAGTTCTTTCAGCTTCATAAATGCTGAGGATGTTCTTCCCTTTGTTTTCTAACTCCAGGTGTTTGCACATTTCATTCTAATACTTTACTTTGTCTTTTCGAGTTGCCCTTTGAAAGCTTCTTTTCAGCTTTTTTTACTTCCTCTTTGTTCTGTTGCCTTTGTTGTTGTTGTTGTTGTTGTTATTTGCCGTCGAGTCGGCCCCGACTCATAGCGACCCTTCCTTGGGTTTCCAAGGCAGTGTCACTACGGAAGTAGGGTTGCCCAACCTTCCTTCCGAGGAGTGGCTGGTGGGTTTGAACCGCCAGCCTTCTGGTTAGCAGTCAAGTGCCTTAGCCACTATGCTACCAGAGCTCTGTTGCCTTTAGCTACTTTCTATTCAAAAGCAAGTTTCAGAGTCTTTTCTGACATCCATTTTGGTCTTTTCTTCCTTTCCTGTCTGTTTAATGACTTTCTGCTTTCTTCATATATAATGTTCTTGATGTCATCCTATAGCTCATCTGGTCTTCTGTTGTTGGTGTTTAACATCATGGACTTGTTTCACTTTTCTTCAGCTTCAACTTGAACTTGGAAAGGAGCATGTTATGGTCTGTTCCCCAGTCAGCTCTTGGCCTTGTTTTGACTGATGATGTTTATCTTCATCACCTCTTTCCATCCATGTAGTGGATTTGATTCCTGTTTATTCCATCTGGCAAGGTCTATGTGTATAGCTGCCATTTATGTTGTTGAAAAAAAGTATTTACAATGATTAAGGTATTGGTCTCAAAAATTCTATCATGTGATCTTCAGCATCATTTCTAACACTAACCCCCTATTTTCCAACTGCTGATGATTCTTTGTTTCCAACTTCTGCATTCCAATTACCTATAATAATCAATACATTTTTAAAAAAGTTTTATTGTAATTTGGGTGAAAGTTTACAGAGCAGATTCATTTTCCATTTTATTTTCCAGTTCATTTCATTTCTGTTTCATTTTCTAGTTCATACACATTTTGTTTCATGACATTGACTTCCATTCCCCACAATGTAATAAATCTCTTCCCACTTCTTCCCCGTGGTTACCTCTTCCCTGTGTCCTTCCCTCCCATGCACTCCTGCCCTGCCTCCTGCCAGCTGTCTCCCTGTACAAACACTGGCCTTTTTTTTAAAAAAAATTTTTATTTTACTTATTGTGATTTGGGTGAAGATTTACAGAGTGAATTCACTTTCCATACAGCAGTTCACATATACTTTGTCTCATGTCATTGACCACAGTTTACAATGCAACAGC